ACACCAAAACCTGGCCATGGAACACGAAAACGTGGTCGCCCACGTTTAAACTATCCTGATTACGTCGCAAGACTGATCAACAACGATACACCACCAACCATCGAAGAAATCCGGAAGACTGCTGTCAATAGGGAAGAATGGCGTAAGATTGTTGTCGCCTGCAAACCCAAGTTATTTGCAGTCGAATGATGATGAATGATGATCTATGCATCTTTATATTTTTATTTAATGCTCTGAGAACTTTTGGTTACCGCTAAGTACAGTATTTTCCCAGCGACAGTACTGTATACTAAGTAGGAATATTTGATAATGGCAACCATTTAAGTGGTCAGTACAATTCATGAAATGATCAGTATAAATATTGAACAATCGGTACTAAAACTATCAGTAATTAATTTTAACATGGTCAATTTATTAGTTGAAAGTAGCAGTAAAAAATTCAAAATTGATCAGTAAAAAATAGGTTTTATCATTAAAAAAATTATTTAAATAAATTAAAGAATCACAGAATAAATAAGAAATATAAAGAATAATTGAGAAAAAAGAAAAGAAATGAAATTATTGTATTAGTAAAGCAGCTTCAACTATTGCTGGTCTACCTCTTTTTCTTTTCTCACCAATTGGAACTGTCTTTGCAGCTGCCGGTGGTTTGCATAATTTCAATCGAATAGCCATAACCGCAATGTGTTTACATATATAATTCTTCAAAAATGGTGGACAGTTGCATGTCAATGTTTTCCATTGTGAATTATTTTCCATTTCCACACACCAAATATCAAATGATTTTTTGAATTGATTAAATGTTGTCCATTTTTTGTGTACTCAAAAAGTGAGTACACTCTGGAATCGGTCAGTGTGTCCGGCCGTTTACACGATAACTTGTGAAAGGAGAGTGCGATCGTGATGAAATTTTCTACACAGTATCGTCTCAACAATTTCTCGATCGAGTTCGAAGATAAGAATGATTCGTTGAATCATTGCTGAGTTCTCGCGAAAGAAGTGATTTTTCCCTATGCTTTTCTATGCGATTATTGACCTATCTCGGTTTTCGTAAAAGAACTTTTCCTCTCATAATCAAACAAAACCCCATGCTGTTATATACCATTCGATAGAGAATTTCACGAGCTACAAAATGGTATATAAAACATTGAGAAACAAGAAGGCTAAGCCACCTATTGCAAAGATCCTTGAACGGAAATTGCTTCTGTGTTTGTCCACGCTGTGATCGATCGAAAATTAAAACCCCATCTTCCAATCAGAGAAGCGATACTTCGAGATTTTATCAAACTTGAACAAAGGTTTTCTGGGGCGGAGAACATGAATCTAAGCTCCACTTGCCTCGAAATTGTATTGGTTGAACAGTAACCAATAGAAATCAAGTTTTAGGGAAAATGGCTTGCTAGAATGATGTTGATGTCTACACATGTTATGATGACTCGCCTGTTTACTTTTTGCACTACATATAACACTCGGATTTAAATTCGAGATTTCCACATTTATTTTTGTTCTATTTACGTAAATGAGCCTGTGTAATCGTTTGTAAATCACGAGGAGGTATACAATATTTATTCGAAGAATCATGTGAAATACAAATAATATCTTTTACTACTTTAGGCCATTGATATGATGAAGTTCATAATTCTAAATCTATTGTTGGTTCTATAGCAAATATTTTTGCATTAACTGAGGATGGCTCTCGTTAAGTTGACCAGCTGTTGATCATAGTTAAAGAAATTGTTAAAAATCTTGATAGAACATGGCGTTCTCGAAATATTCCATCATCTTTTATCGCTTTATTGGTTGCCTCTAAGGCCTTCTTTCTACTTGGTGCATACATTTGTATACCTTCATACCAACCATCATTAGATTGAAGCCATTCATTATCAAAATAATTTAGAAAATCTAATATTGATTGTTTTTTTTGCTTGTTGTTCATATTCCATTTCTTCATAAATAGTGAAGATGCTAATTTAAATACAGATTTAGAACTGGATAAATGAAGCATTTTAATATCTTTCATTAATTCTTTTTCAATATCTTTATTGTCAAGATGGCATATACGATTTTCAACTTTCTTTTTCATGTGTGCCCAACACATTATTTGATTATATGAATTATTAAAAACACTTTTGAAAGAATTTTTGATTGAATCAGCAGTATTTTATATCAATACTGTTGGTATTAATAAAGGTCTATTGATTTTTTGCATACCAGTTTGAAGACTAATAAAGATAAATTGAAAATCTTTGGTTTTTTCATTTGACCAAACTGCTAAACCAAACGGATGAAATGCTTTATTCAAATCGGTTGTTCCAACCAATAATACTGGAAAGCCTTGCCATATGAGTTTATATGTCGCATCTGCGTGTATATGTTGTGACATGAATGCGATATTGAGCAAACGAACAGATTATATAAATATACAAAATTTGTTGTCATCATCATCCTCATATTCTTCATCATCATATAATATCTTGTATGATACAACAAAAGATTCATTTTTATCAGTTGCAATATTTTGATGATTTGCACACCATTGTTCTAATTCATCTAAACTTCTTTTATGTGAACCGAATTTCTTTTTTTTTATAATACACTAAATAATTGTTCAGCTGTACTAATGTTGGTACATTTGTTTTTCTTGATTGGAGTGCTCGAAGAATTAGTTTTGGTTTCTTTACACCATCATTAAATAAATCTTCTACATACTTTTTAACGTATGTATCAATGCCACGAATTGTACTACTGTCATGTTCATGTTCAGCTTCTGTTTCATAAATGGTTACTTTGTCGCTATCTGCATGATACAACAGATGAATGCTTGCAGGGCATTGAGGACCACAACGTCTTGTATTCTTCCATCTATAATAAACTTTTTTCCCTTCTTCAGTATGTTTTACGTAATGTTTTGACCATTGATTTTTAATTCATGCTATTCCTGCATTAGCGGTATCGAATATATCTTTTTTGATCCAAATATTAGATTTCTTTTTTTGTGGGTTTTGTACGCCCATTTATTTGACGATCTTCTTCCATCACCTCTTCATCCGATTGATCACTTTCATATTGAGCAACTTGTACCACGTTCATAGTGCAAATACGTCAAACTTTGTAAATGAAAAATGGGTTATTTTCATTTGAAAAACGCCAGTTATATATATGAGCAAAGACAAAGATAATGACTATGGAATAAGTTGAGAAAGTTCTTTTCCTTTGTTTTTCAAATAATGAACAATGAGAAGACGTAAAACAATGATTCTTCTTATTGAAAAAAGTATAGGTCAAAAAAAGTAGGTCAGAACAACGATAACATTTGTAGAACAGCTGAAGAGAAGGAAAAGAAGAACAAAAATGATTCACTCTACAGCCGTTTCAATTTTTTTACTGACTTCGTAGTATAATCAACTATTAAAAAATTTTATTTACTGATTTTGAAATTTATTTACCGACCTACTCAATTATTAACTGGCCGTTTCAATAATTTACTAACCAATCATTCAATTTACTGACCATTCATTAAAATCAATGATTTTATAATTATTTTATCTACTGAGTATTTCATTTATTTTACTGTCTTTAAATTACATTCCCTTTGATAATTCGCCTACTTACCGAAAATTTCTTTTACGATATGTAGTCGTTTCTTAAATTTGAGAACCTATCAAAGAAACTTGTTTTTTTTCAGAGATCTGAACATTCCTGAATACTATTATCCGTCTTTTCATAAATATTTTTCGTTTTGTCCTTCGTTCGATTCTTTGAATGAAAATAGAATAGACAATCGTTTACCTATGCACAGGCTGAGATTTTTTCATGTTTCATAATACCATCCATCCTTTTGTACATATAATTCCGGTTTTGATCAACTTTGATGCATAACGGTTGTTCGATCTTATTATTATAATGCTAGCTTGAATAGTTAGATTACCTAATGTTTGTTCCTTTGTTCGAAATGATTGTATTTACAAGGACATGCTATTGCAATGTAAATATGCACAAGCTGAATTACTCATCAATCGTCATGTGTTTGTTTGCCTTCAACAAAGAGAAAATGTGTTACTCTTTTAAAAAGTTGCTAGACTTCTCTCTATAATTATATTACGGTGTAATTACATAAGGCGTAGGCTTAATACCAAGAAATCTAAATAATATTAGTCATTGATGAAGAACTTGGATATTATTTTGTGAAAGATAATAAAAATTCGTCCAATTAAATCAATAGTGAATAAAATCTAATCAAGTGGATCTTTTCAGAACAATTATTAAGTGTTCAAAATAAAAACGTGGAATTGGATTTAGATCGACTTTCGGATTTCTTTGATATTGACTAGTCCGAATAAAACTATAGTTTCAATCTACTTACAATCTTTTCATCGATTCACTAATAATCAATTCGCTATCAAAAACTCATCTGGAAGCGAATGCATTTGTCAACAACTTTTTTTCTTAACTCTTAAATATATCTATCATATTAGTACTCTTCTGCAAAGAATAGTAAAACAGTAAAAAAAAGAATGCCACCTGATTATAATTAAACTTTTCAAATGTCTCTCGATCACGAACTGATTATTTTCATGTGAACGAAGATAAAAGAAAATTTGCGCTAAAAATAATCGTATGTCGCGAGTTTGGTGGAAAACATCCAATGAGAAGGGTGTGGGTGTAGATATTCATGTGCTATTTTCACCCACGCTCTTATTCAAAGAATACTTGAAATAATAAGCAAATACATCCACATCAATATCTTTTATCTGCATCTTGTACGTTAGTTTGATTAGACTTGTCACGTTTAATGATTTCATCTATCAGAGGATGTACGAGATCATCAGGCCAATCTTGGCTATATCTTATTGGCTGTTATGTCTCATACCATCGATATCAACAATCTTAGTCTTTGTTTTACCATCATCAAAATATAAATATGAATTTAGTCCCTAGGTATTCAAAAATGGACTAGACTACATCATCAAGCGTCATAAACTAATTAATCCAAGAAATCGTCGTACAAACTTTATGATCAAATTCAATCTTCTTTGCTTGATTTGCTTAGCTGATTAACAAAAAAGGAAAGTTTTATGACATAAAAAAAGCATTGCTTTATTCAATGGGTTGTACATATTTGATAAGTTTGAGCTTAATAAAATATCTTGAATATCAATCGTCTTTAATAATTATAACTGTGAATCCTTTCGCGTAATCCATTGAACTAAAGTATTGGTATAAAAGCAACTAGAACAGTAGATTTTTTTTAAATTCGTTTTCCACCCTTTAACACATTCGAGGTGATTCGCCTATTGGTAGGCCACACTATATAGTGTGGGTAAAAGTATTATTCAAGGGAGTATCACTATCATTTCAAATAGCTATTACAACTAATTTTATACCAGTTTAAAGGGTGCTACATGGGGATTGATTT